GATTAATGATGCATTAGCCCAATTTAAATCTGAACTGGGAAAACGAGATGCAGATTATAAAGCTGAACTATCAAAACATGATGCTGAACATAAAGCTGAAATAGAAAAATTAGAATCTAAATTACAACAGAAATCACAAGTATTTGCTTCACAAATTAGACAACCGAAGGCTCCACCATCAAATTTAAAAACGGAAGAAGATTATGAAAAATATTATTTAGCAAAATTCTTTAAAGATTTAGGTATATATAGTAAAGAAAATTTTGATTCAAATTATCTGAAAAACCTTTTCAAAGACCTTGTCCACAGCAAAAAAATAACTCTGTTAGATTAGAGGAGAAAGTAGATGAAATTGGGCATATGTTATCTCATCTTAATATAAACAATCAATCCAAAAAACCAGTAGTCAAATCAATCAAACACAACGATATTATCCTTTTCAACCAATAAATTATAGCTTTTCAGCTAATTATAATGAAGAAAACCATGGATATAGTGAAGAAAACGGTATATGGTATGATGATGATTCTGAAAAAAAAAACAACGAGTAAATAAAAACTTATCTGATCTAATAGTAGTAGGTAATTATCCCAAAACATATGATCAGTTATTATCTAAGCTTTCACCAGCAATGAGAAAAATGTATCAGTCTCATATAGTTCAGAAAAAAGAATCAAAATCAGATGAGTGGTTTTTGTCTTTACAGTATCTGAATGCTAAAATAGATGATTTAATGATTTCTAATTCTTTTTTAGATGGTGGAAGTAAAATCGGAGGAGTGAATGATGCAACAATTAATGCCCTTGGGTGGAAAGCTGATAAGCCATCTGACTTTGCTATAAAAGGTAACTCCAAACATATCACTGAATCATTGGGATGGTTTACAGATGTGCCAGTCAGTATAAAGGATAAGGATGGTAAAACTGTCACAGCTATTGGAAATTTTACACATATTGATAATGGTGAACCCGAACCAATGTTATGTTTAGGTATGACATGGATTCGAAAAGTTCAAGGTATTTTTGACCCAAATAAAAACCAATTCCGAATGAAGTTACATGGTAAGTCTTACATTATCCCAACTTTTAACAAGGCTCCAGAAGCATTAGATCCACCAAAAGAGAAGCAAGATTTATTGCCTCAAGTATCTATTGCAAAGCAATGGCTCTCTGAGCCTACCATCTCATCTAACTCAACTAATGAGGAAGACTTAAAAAAAAAAGTGTGATGAACTTGAAAAGCGACTCATAAAAACTGAAGAGTGGCTTGATATGGCTTTAAATGCAGGTAAAGTTCTTGCAGAAAGATGTTCTTAACTTACTGAGATAAAGATGGGTACTTAGGTGCTAGTTTTTCAGTATCTTTCATTAATTTTTCAAGATTGGTCTTCCTTCTAGATGTATTATTGCAAAGCAATGGGGCTTCTCCCCTATCAGAAGAGACACTTTTTTTTATTGCACGTGAGGAAGTAGAATTTTGAATCTTTGGTCGTGCCATCTCTGCTGATTTATCTAGTGAAACTTTAGAGTGAATCATATCATTTATACTAGATGAATTATTGCCAGAGGTAGTCACTTCATGGCTGGATATATTAGATTGTACTTGTGCACTTTGTGTATTATATGAATGAGGTATAGGTTGATCCCAGAGAACTCTATTGGCCTCTTCTCCTCTCCAAATTTGATAAATACGTTTTGATGATGTTTTATATTTATCCAATAATTCTTTTAAAATTTTGTATCTTGGCTTTATATCACGACATTGCATTATATATGAATAATCTTCAGCTGAAAACAAAGGTGCATCAGATTTTATACATACTCTAACCATAGTAATAAGTGTTTTTTTTATCTAACAAAATATATCAGAAAAATAAAAAATATATAATATATCAGAAAAATAGAATATATCAAATATATAGGATTATTTATTTAATACATATATTCTATCTAATACATTAAAATTAGCACATTAATAGATATGTATATTCTATTTAATACATTATATCTATTTTTTATAAAAGGTATATTTATTTCATTGATATAATAACGAAGCTAGTGTTAAACACATATAACCCTGCCTTCTTGTTCTTTGAACTCAAAGCCAGATTATAGCCACCGTATGACTGCCTCCAGCAATTTGTTTTCTGGAATATATAAACTGACCATGAACGAACAGAGTGAAGTGAATTATCAGGGGGAAGAAATTTTTTATCCAGTCTATAGAAATCAGAGTTATGGATTCCCAATCCATCATGCAAAAAAACAGAAAGAAAGAACTTCCACCTATGAAACTATTCCTTATGGATATGGATGAGGCCACAAAGCATGAATCATCCAGAAATGTCGGACATCCAGCAATGACATGGCCTTTCAGTAAACTAGTCACTGGGAGGAGTGGAACGGGTAAGACTAATTTACTGGCAAACCTTGTTCTTGGAGATAAAGCAGAGTATATATGTTGTATATAATTTGTGTCACTATATAATTCCCGGAATTATATATATAATTGGTGGCCGATCACCACCCCAAAACCTGATTTACATATATAATTGGTGGCCGATCACCCCAAAACCTGATTTACATATACTGATGACCCCCAAATATACTCGTTGATATACGATGATTGTTAAAATGTAAGTCAAAAGTATTCCTAAGCGCTAATTAAAGTTTGTTTCAAAAGTTATATTTCCAACCCTTTATTCATTCTTCGTCTTTAGTATCTACAAGATTCCTTACTAGATTATAGCAACCCGATTGTTATTACCGACTGTATAAAAGTTGAAAAATACAATGACGATAATGATACATTACTGATAAATCTAAATCTGCTTCATCTTCTTAGTAGAGTATAAGTGATTTATTGTTTGATGCTTTAAAGAACAATTAATGTCATGATCAAATAGATCGTTTACAGTAATAGAGTGATATAGCCAAAATCTACTTCCTAATGCTGCCTTCATTATTTGACAATTCTTGTTTTGAGGATAAATCGTATTAACATTGTCATGATTGAAATATCGTACGATGATACAGCTATCTACCTTCGCTGTTTGATAATTCTTGTATTGAGGAATAATTCATATGATATAATACATTGTCCTTTCTGTGTTACCTTCACTGTTTGATAATTTCTGTAAATAGTACATGGCATTACCTTCATTGTTTGATAACTTCTCTATCAAGGAATAAATCGTGGGATGATACATTGCCAAGATTAAAAATAAATCGTATGATGATACATGGCATCATATGATTACCTTCATTGTTTAATAACTTCTCTATCGAGGAATAAATTGTGTGGGATAACACATTGCCATGATTAAAAATAAATTGCACAATGATACATGGCATCGTATGATTAGCTTCATTGTTTGATAACTTCTCTATCGAGGAATAAATCATGGGATGACACATTGCCATGATTAAAAATACATCGTATGATTAGCTTCATTGTTTGATAACTTCTCTATCGAGGAATAAATCATGGGATGACACATTGCCATGATTA